ACCCTTCTCCTGAGGATCTAGATTATTGAGCTGTGATTCTGACATCTTTTTCCAAAGAAAACAGTGGAAGAAAATAGAAATGCTAAACTGTTTTTTGGGTAGCGCTCTTTGAAGTGTTGGGCTGATAGGACAGAATTCTATATACTCCGTGGTACCTCTGGCCAAAGCTGGCTTTGTCTTTCACAGCCCCCAGGTTGCACCTGTAGGTTGCGTGGTGTGACGCCCACTGTGGGTAACCAAACGCTGTCGGCCTGATTGGTTCACTGGACTAGGTGCGGGACCAGGTGTAGTCTTAAGTCGTGTTCCCTCCTCCCACAAGTGTTGAGATGATGTGCGGCATCACTGCTAGCATTCATCATTTTAGGAAATAAATGTAAAAGAAGTCTTCAATTTTGTTTTTCTAAAGATTTTATAGCAAAGTGTATATGAAAACAAATTGAAACAAACAAAACAAGCAACTCTGGGAGGCAGTTGACCTCTAAAGTGTATTTGTAGGAGTTTGATTACAGCTCAAATAGAGGCATCATTAATAAAGATGGTTAGCAGTTATGAAGAATGCCAGAGAAGGTTGAAATTGAGTTGTTTTTCAGATCTTGCATTGTTAAAAAGAGACTTTACATTTTATTCTGAGGACTAATATTAGGCTATTGTGATTTAAGGCAAAGTTTAAAATAAAAAATTTTAATATAATACATTTGAGAAATATTTCCTTTATAATGCATTTTCTAATAGCTGTCACACAATGGTAAGAGAAATGAGTGAATTACCACATATTTTAAAATACTGGCAACGCATTCAGTAGCTTTAGTTTGTATTGCAAAAGAGAAGCAGAAATCCTGACTACTGGGCTTAATATCTAATGAAACCTTCAGTGCAGAATTAAATGAGAGGTTCTGCATTGTGCCATAGGAATTAGAGCTAAAGACTTAACTCAACGTGGCTGTGTTGTGTGCCTGCTTTTAATGTGGTAGATGTTCTTTTATGAGACCACCAGATCCCATGAAGGATGCATTGTCTCAACCTGTTGAAAATCAGAGCTCTACTTTTAGTTCCAGCCATCCTCATATCCATCCGTCTGTTTATCCCTCTGCTCCTCAGTCAGTCCTTCCTTCTGTCTGTCCGTCCATCCATCCTCCCTCCCCTCTCTCCCGTTCTGTCTCCTCTCTCCCTCTTTTACTCCCCTTCCCCAGCTCAGGGTACTTACTGGTTCAAATACAGGGAAAGGATCCTTTTTTATGCACCTGCACTCACAGTGAATGAGCTCTGTGTTCCCAAGGGCTTTAGGAGTTGTGGCTGCTAACTCACTGCCTGATTTCTGTACCCTCCTGAGTGGAGCATGGCATAAGGAGAGCTGTCTCCATATTTTTCTTGCTCTGAAGTTACCTTATTGCCATTTTTACTGGTCGAACTAAAAAGATGGGTAGGTAGTTCCCTTGAAATATAAAGCTCAGACCCACATTAAAGAGGTTTCTGAGACATAATAGGAGAGGCAGGAGCTTAAACCAGCAGCTCTCAGACAGGAACTCGGGTATAAACGTGTTTGGGAGGCTCGGGAGGAGGGCTCTAACTGCTGCTGCCCTCAGCTGCTTTTTACAAAGTGTTTTCATTTCTCTTTTACCAGTTACTTCACCTTATAGGAAACTATTCCACGAAAATAACCAGAAACAATAGTAATAATTAATGTTCATCAGCATGTTAATTTAAGCACTGAAAAATTAGAAACAGCCTATGGGTGTATCTTTATTCTTTCTCTGAAGTTCTTACAGTGGACCTGTCAGTGTTGTGAGAAAAATACTTGGGTATATCTTATTACCCGCCTTCTAATATTAGGATTAATATTGTCTTTATTACATTAACACTATAACAAAATATTATTATAATCACATGTGATAGGATCCATCTAAAGTCCCCAGTAATTTCCAGGGACCATTAAACTGGATTTTTTCTTAATTGTTTTTGATCAATATATTTTTTCAAGTGTCGATTTTATTTCACCAGTTCCTTTTTGCTGGGTGTGTTTTTGGAGAGCTATTCTGTCTCTCACTTTTATTATTGTTCCGAAGTCTCCAAATTCCTGTTTTATCTTTCTCTTAACATTTGTCCTTCGCTATTTCGTTTTAAATCTTATTTCCATACAAAGTAATTAAATTGTTTAAATGTCTCTTGCAGCTAAGATTTAATTTACCCTCTTAGGTATCTTGAAATTGTACCTTTGTTATTTTTGCCTCATAGTGGCTTTTTCCATCAGCAGGAATGAAGCAGTCAATAAAAATCAATTGCTGACACAATGACCGTGCAGAGGGGTTACCATGATGGGTATTGGAAGTGTCTTTGGAGGCTTTTTCCTGAATGGAAGGTGCCGTGGCTTGTGTTTTACGGCTTTGTAATGTTAGCCCGCAGTCTCTATTTAGCATCTTCCCCAAGTGAAAACAGCGCATTAGGGCGGCATGACAAGCAGCGCAGGTCGATACGGAGGCAGGGCTTCGCCCTGACAGATTAACCAGGGGCAGCGTGCTGGAGTCTGCTCCGGGCACTGGGGGACGGCTGTGCTGATTTCCACCCTCTTACCCCTTTCTGCCATCTAACAATCATCAATACATGTTTAAATGTGTACAAAAAGAATCTCAGATATCCGTGTGCACACGTGTGTGCACACACACCAAACTCCAGGTAGGAAATCAGGGGCCCTAGAAGTGAGGAGTATTGATTTGTGGTGATAAAAGTACATTTTGACACATTTCAAATCATAAGTAACTCATGGACTTTTAACTTGGGTGATGAATAGCTAAATTCAGGGTAAATGCTATATACAACTTAAATTACCTCTTTCTAAGGAGTTCATAGTATTAGATGAGTTTCCATTGTGAATCGTCTTTTCTTCCTCTTGTGTTTTTCTCCTGTGATAATGGGCAAGGCCACATACCTGGTCAGGATTGTTCTCGTCCCCTCTCCCCACCCTCCTTTGAAAGCTAAGATATGTTGGACAGACGCTGGTCCTCAGCATGAGGATAGCCTGTAACCCTGCTTCGCCACGAACTAACACAGGCATGAGTCACGTATGTGCTAAGTTTGGCTGACCTAATGCTTAATCATATTTTATTTAGTATTTACTCAGGTGTGTGTCTTGCTGTAGACTCTTGGAAGCACAGCTGACTCCCTTTAGATGCTGATGTTCATGGTAGGGGATTCAGACATCTGAACTTAGAAACTGTTAAAAGAATTGGAACTCCTGGGATTGGATTTCAAGTCTGTTCTTGGGTATTTGGCAGAGCAGTAAGGTAATGAATAAAAAAAGTAAAAGCAATATTATGTAAAATTTGTGGGATTATTTTTTCCCTTTATGTCTACTTTCTTTAGAGGGTAGTAAGAAATAAATTCCCTCAGGGACCAGTAACGTGGTTTGCATTTCAGTTTTCTATTCTAATAAAATATATATTAGCTTAGTGTGTTGGATAAAAGTAATGAGAAGACAAATCGTCACCCAGGGGTTTCCTTATTGATGAGAAATAGTCCTCTTGTGTTCTCTAGGGGTGTTTAAAAATCCATTAAATTTAAAATAATGCTATTTCAAGATTACTATGGCAATAACAAAATTTAAATTTCAAAAAACTGGTATGAAGGACTGGAAGCCTTTTGTATTAAGTAAAACTAATTTGAAAAAAATGTATGAGTTCCTAGATTAAAAGTGATAATATTATGTATCTGTGTGTTTAGTCCTTATAGTCAAAGTTCCTCTACCATCTTAAGAATATTTCATCTTTGTATAATTTATTTGGTTTATTTTGTTATCATTTTTAAGTCTATATTACAAGGTTTTTTGGAAGCACTGAAGTTTGCGACTTCATATTCACTGAAAGCAATCTAACTAAAATTTGAGGTTTGTAAGTATACATTTAGTAAAATTTGAGCCCAGGGAATTAAAAAGAAATTTCCTCTCTACCCATTTGTATTCTCAACAACTGATTGCATGGCTTTTATAAGAGGTATTCTTATTAGTAGCTGAGGTCACAAAGAAAATAAGATACAGTCCTTGGGGCCTGCATTCTAATAAGTGTAGCTAGTTAAGTGCACTATAGCATATAGATAAACAGCGTTAAATGCACATGAAAGAAGTTAATATATACAGGGGCAATGGGGTCACCATAAGAAGAATGATGGTCTCTACCGTGGATGGGGAGAGCAAGTGGAAAGTATACAGAGAAGGTTACACTTCAGTGCTTAGTTCAAGTATTGAAAGATGAGCAGGTACTTTCCAGATGTATGAGAGTTTATAAGGGTGGGCATTTGGGTTCCATTCTTGAAATCAGAGCCACATGAGCAGAGATGTGAAGGGCCGTGCAGGAACCCAGCCCTGGAAGTGGTCTGGTCAGGCTACCGCAGTGTGGGAGGCTGTGGCCACAGAGCAGGCAGAGGCCTGATGAGGAAGACCTGCCTGTTGGCCTTGAATATTTTATTTAGACAGCGGTAGGGAGAGATACTGTCCCAGATTCATATAGTCGAACCCTCTGGAAGAACCTTCTTCTGGAAGGCAGGAGCAGAAGGCGGGAGCCGAGAGACAGGGAGTGCACTCAGGAGGTCACTGAATCCAGGATGTAAATGGAAGGACAGTGCGCACAGAGAGAGGACCAGAAGGTAGGACATTGAACACCGTGGGCCACGGGCTGTGGGAGTGGAGAGGGAAGCCGAGGCGCCCAGGCTTCCCACTCAGCCGGCTGGGCTGAGGAATGTTGGCGCCATTCACCTGGGCCAGACTCCGGCTTGGGCCGGGATCGTGTTAGGGTCCAGAGAGGCCTCTGGTACTGTCGGCTAATGGAACTAATTTCATAGATACTGTCTACCTTGTGTATCTTTCTTTCATGCTTGAAGAAAATTATTTCTTTTGAACTTTTTCCCCTACATTTGAAACATTTATCTTATTTAATGTTTTATATGTTCTTTGGCCTTGATCTTTATTCTGATTGAAGACCATTTGTCTCAGTGAGCCCTGTTTTTGTTTTCAGGCGGTATGAGGTTCATCCGGTTTGTGCGGATCTGCAGGCCAAAATCCTCCAGTGTTACCGCCAGAATGCCCAGCAGACCCTCAGCTGCTCTGCCCTGGCCAACCAGTACATGCGCTGTGTCAACCAGGCCAAACAGGTGGGTGCGTGATCCAGCCCAGCACGGACATCGTGGGAAAGCAAGCCCAGTACCACGGGATAGCAGTGATGATTCAGTGGGCTGATATGCGTGAAAAAAAGCTTTATAAACCAAACTAGCCCTCCTCATCCAGAATGGCCAGAACAAGTTGGTGAGGTTGTAATCAACTTCTGCCCACATGGTTGTAAGAAGAGCCTGTATTCTTCTTGTGTTCCACTCATTGCTTGCAGAAGAAAAATAAAAGAGATTCTTAGCAAAATAACACTTTTCCCAGTTGTTCTGAACTTTTGTCCTCTACTCTGTAACAATTTTATCTTCAGGTTCATTGCTCCCTATTTCTGGACCAATACTCAAAGCCAGCAAAGAGGAAAGATACAAGTTAAGGGCCCAACAGCTTCGAGTCCATAAGCAGCAAATAGTCACACAGAGAACCTGGTTTAAAAAAAACTAAAACAAAAACCTACCATTTGATTTTCTACCAGTTGGTAGGGCCCACTCACTTGAGCTGGGAAAAGGAGGCCAGAAACAGGACTTAGGAAAATGTTTCAATCGCTCTTTTATACCATAGCCATATTCTTCTCTGGATCCTTCATTATCAGAGTAATACGATGTTCGCAGGACATGTATTTTCTCTCATTTATGTACTTAAGAAAGCTAATGATCAACTCTGAAGCAAGTTATCAATTCTGGCAGGTCACATAATTGCCTTTCATTTAACTGATTTAACAGTTGGATGTAGGTTGTTCTGAGAGACGGAAATTGTTGGAAACCTTGATTCTTTCTGCTGCTCAGCTCCCCAGCGGTGACCTTCTAGCCCAGCTAAATCTCGTGTCAGAGTTACACGGCATGGCTCTCTGCGGTCTAATTGCTGTGGTGGTAATGATACCACTTGGTGTCGATTTCTCACACCGTCTCTGATGGGAATGGGGTGTTGTCTTCATAGCTGGGCAATAATGGCAGCCCTGGTTGAAACAACATGCAATAGTCCCCCTTACCCACACGTTCACTTTCCACAGTCTCGGTCACCCATGATCAGCCATGGTCTGAAAACTACTAAATGGAAAACTCCGGAAGTACACAATTCTTAAGTTTTAAATGGCATGCTCTTCTGAGTAGTGTGGTGAAACCTTGGGCCATCTCATGCCATCCTTCCTGGGAGGTGAATCATCTGAATGCCCAGTGCATTCACACTGCACACACAGTACACTAATAAGGTACTTTAAGAGAGAGAGACAGACACGGAGAAACAGACCAAGACCATGTTCATAATACCTGTTACTGCAGTATAGCGCTCTAATTGTTCTATTTCATTATTAGTTATTGTTGTTAGCCTCTTACTATGTTTAATTTATAAATTAAATTTTCATAGGTATGTATATATAGGAAAAACCAGTATATATAGGGTTCAGTACTATCTCTGGTTTCAGGCATCCACCAGAGATATTGAAACACATCTCCTACGGATCAGGGAAGACGACTGTAATCAAAATTTATTAAAAGCCTGTGTTGACTTTAAAAGCCTGATGGCTTGAGGCTTTTTTTCTGTTTCTTGCTTGTAGTGGCACTTGTGTATCTCTTAGAGGTACACCAGGGATTCTTTTGTTTAAAGGCCTTCAGTAGAAGTAATGCTGATATTGTTGTTAGTACATTTTATTTGCAAAAGCGGCTCCTGATATGCTCTTAACAAGCCTCGACATTCAGTATTAATGGACGGAAGCCCTTGGGACCTATAAGTTGACGCATGGATTTTTCTAACTTGATATTAGAGCCATATTGAGTTGGAGGTGGATAGCCAGTGCAAACAATGGCTGTGATAAAGTGTATGTTTCAGTGCTGGTATCTCCCGTAGGTGGCTCTTTCCCCAGTGTGATTTGTCACATACTGAAGTGGCAGCCACAAGGGCGTCTGGAGTATTGACTCCATCCTGCCTACGTTCTGTTGAATCATCTGCACACAGCCCCATGAGATCAATGACATACATTTACAGAATGAACGTTAACTTGTGACAAAATCAGATACGCCATGCGGTGCGACTGAGAGTTCGAATTGGGCAGATCCGAGTTTGTATCCAAGCTGCGTCTTTTACCAGCTGTCGGACCCCAGGCCTTGAGTTTTCTCATGTGCGAACTGGGGTAAGGCCATCTCCAGTGTTGTTGTGAGGGTTACATTCATATAAAGTATTCAGTAAATCTTTTGGGGTTTTTTCCTCAGCTGTATATTTCATGCTGAAACCAACTAAATGAATTGGACAAAAACATCAAATCATTACTAGTCATTACTAGTGATTCCAAAAGAAACCCTCCTTTCCCCGCTACCTGGTCTGCAATATAATTTAATACTATTTTCAGCAAATATGTTTCAGGTACCTATTGTTTTGACAACTCTTACATTCAAGTATCAGGGAGTGAGTAACAATAGTAATATTAAAAAGATATATGTCCACAAAACATTTTTATCCTAAAATGGGCAACACTGAAATGGGCAAAAGCCAAGAAACATTAATGTCTTGTATTTCTTTCTATAGCACTTTAGATTTCAAGGTGATTTCACATCCATTCCCTTACTTCGTTTTTATGACACCCTGAGATGTAAATAGAGACGGTTTTATTCTCGTCATTTTACAGTTGAGAGAATTGAAACCCAGGGAAGTCATGATGGGAAATTTAACAACTAAACCAAGGTATACCTTGCTGTAAAAACAAAAAATTTTTAAAGTGTTTGGTGTTTGAGTTGGGTGTGTGAAGGCACATCTGTTAGCCACTGATGGAGAAATAAGGCCGTGAGGGAGAATGCGTACGATCGTGACTTGAAGGGGGAGAATGTGAAGATCAGGGTGAGTAGTGCTAGAAGCTGATGGGAACCAGCAGGAGAGGGGCAGGTGAAGGCCATCGGTGGAGGGGGGCACCACACGACCCCATTTTAAGACCACCCCAGAATGGCCCCATGGGGTTACATCAGCGTTTCATGTGGTTACTTTTCCTCTCGTACCACATTTTCCTGGTTCTCCTTGTGAAGTTCGCCTAAATTCGTGTCCCCAGACCTGCCCGCTGTTAGGAGAGACTTTGACAGCGCAGGTGGTCTTGATCCCTTGTTGCAGTAGTTCCTGGGTAGTCTGACCCCTTCTGTGGTCCCTTGCTAAATCAAAGACCAAGCCGGGCACGCCAGCAGAGAAAATACTCAACACGGTGTAGCCCGTGAGGTTGCGATGTCCATTTCCGGCATCGCACGTGAGTTTTCCCCTTGGAATAATCCCAACAGCCAAATCCACTCCACTTGTAAATGACTCATAAGCCTGGGCTTTCACTGGTTCCCTTGGGGCGTTGTTCTGTAGACTAATAGAGTTTAATGATAGGAAGGTTTCCGGGTATTCCTCAGCCTTGCTTTTCCTTTCTTACTCATCCGCTTACTCACATCACTCTTTCTTCAGCTGTTCTTAAACAATTTCCCATGGGCTGACATGAGACATTTGGACTGTTATTTCCAGTATATTAAGTTATGTGTTCTTCACAGGGGTAAAGAGATATTAAATTGCTATAATTGTTATTTCTAAGACTTAAAAGCTACTGGCTAGTGAGATGAGATACGACATTTTAAAATGTAGGAGGATATCAATTGATAGGCTTCTGTATCTTTTATTTCTCATATCTGCTTAGCTTCGTAGCATTCTAAAAACTCTCCAGGATTGAATGACTTGTTCTCACCTTTAAAACTCAATTCCCGTTCAGTCTTGATTTACCTACCTCACAGAGGCCTCTGGAAGGGAGTGGAAGGTGGGAAGTAAATAGCAATTGCCCACTAATGGGCCAAAATGTGCCCAAGTTCTAGTCATAAGGGGTAGGGGTGTAGAAAGGGCTGGCTCCCAGAGCTGCACTGCCGTGGCCCCGGGACACCCCGCAGCCCCTCAGGGCACTTGCAGAATCCAGCTGTTCATGGAGTAGTGACTCTTAAGCATTCCAGCTCTTTCTCAGCCCTGCTGCCATTCACAGAAAGGGTCAAAAGCTGGCCAGACGCTGGGGAAGCAGTCTCTTCGCTCGAGGGTAGAGTGTATGGGACATGCTGTTGCCAATGTTCTGATCTTGTCGGGGTGACTGGGCTTCAGCTGCCTCTTTGGGAAATGAGGGGTCTGAACAGGGCGGTGCATGAGGACCTTCCGGCTGTTGTTCCGGGGCTGATTCTGCGTCCCGGGGTGGGAATGAGAGGCAGTGTGCAGGAGCTCGCATGTTCCTGAGCACATTCAAGTTAAGAGCTGCAGCTCTCTGGTACAAGCAGCGCCCTTCTCTGGGCACTGCCCGCATTTGTGCCTCTGCCTCTTGGAAGCTGCTGTCAGCCTGAAGCTATCACTCCAGAAGAACCACTGCGTTTCCAGTCGCTGGGCCTCGCACAGCTTCGTATCCTTCCTTGAAACGTGTGTGCCTGTCAGCCCTGGGGAAGCCAAGGTGACAGGTGAAAGCAGTTTCCCAGGTTCTCCAAAGTCAGTGAAATGGAAGGTGGCTCTCTCGGCGCAGCCTGGCAGCATGTGGGCTACCGGCTGCTAAAGTGCGTTAGAAACCGCAGGCCGAGCACCTCTAGCCCTCCCTGGGTCTCTCCGTGCTGGGTGGTGAGGGACTGCGAGGTCAGAGCAAAAGAGCCAAGGAAAGACCAAGACTAAAACCAAGGGCCAGACCCCGGAGATGCCCCGAGGGCAGAGGGCAGTCGGGGAGCCCGGGGTCAGATGATGGAGCCAGTCAGGAGTCCATAAACCTCAGCGGAGGTTGAAATCCCCAGGTGGGCAGCTGTTCAGTAGCCAGGCAAGCTGCTCGCTGAAGGAAGTACCCAAATGAGGGCGTCTTATACACAACTGAGCCCCACGTGTGCCCGTCTGCTTCCCGCCGATCTCTTTGAAGAGACTGAGAAGTCGCGCGGCTGCAGTGAGGAGCGTGGGGCGAAGGCCCGTAGTGCCCCTCCTGGCCGCAGTTAGCCTCCGACACCGAAGACCCTGAGGTCAGTGCCGGCGGGGGAGT